GGGTACCCGGCTGCATGTTGATAAGACAGAATAAGTCAAATATAAAATAAAAGGCTTCCTGAGGCTTTCGGTAAAAGTGTTTATGCATTCGACATATCGACTGAGATCATGCCTTGGTCTCTGCTGATTGGGTAACATGCCAAGCTGTCTGTCTCCCAAGGAGAACACGTGTCCAGATTCACTCAAAGCCAGACAGTGATCCGACACAAGCCAAAGACACCACATTACCCAGACCCTCCACACGACCTGAATCAGGGTGACAGAGAGAAAAACAAACACAAATGTTTGAAATGTTTTGATGTGTGAACAGCTTTAAAACGATGCTACACTGAGCAGCCCTATTTGTCTTAAACACAAATCTAAATTAGGCATCAAGTGTTTGTACCAAGACGCCAGTTCTGTACCAGTCTTGAAAAAGGAAGCCATTGCAGAAGTGCAAATCCTGCAGTGTGCGCGCTTGTGGCTGGTTACAGGAACGCCAGAAGACATACACACACCGGCAAAAAATACTTTTTAACAGCAAATATACATTAACATGTTTACAGCCTGGTACAAAAAAATTAGATCTGATTAGTTATTGTCATCATGGCACATACTGTACAGGGGTTCGTCAGTCTGTCGTTAGGTGACTGAAAGTTAGGGTGAGACAGGATTTCCATCATGCAGCTGCTGCAGATGAGCCTCCAGAGTGCCCTGCAGTAACAGATGGCTGACGTCACTCAGACCTCGTCCATTAATTTAGATTTAGGCTACAGTTTATGGTTTTACCTGTCGTGTGCTTAATGATAGTTGTGTCAAATAACTCGTTCATTTTCCTCACTTTCTGAACAAATTGACTTTCAGTACTCCTCAACTTTCCCAAAATCAGTCATTATGATACATTTTTATCCATTTAACTTAAATAATTTAAATAACAGTGGGAAATAGAGTTTCACCTTGACCTGCTGTATAAAGATTTGGCTTTGGGGGTTACATTTAAAAAGTCCAATTATCCAATGTAAAAAGAAAAAAACAATGTAGGCTATAGCACTGTAAAGACAAATTTAGGATTTTATCCACTCATATAAAACATTTTCATGTATCAACCTTAACTTAGAGAATCGCTTTATTGGATTCACCTACTCGCTGCTGAAATGTAAAATAAAAAAACCCGGTTACAAATCAAAGCAAAACATGTATAGAGTGCCTCAATTAAATTTTCCGACTTTCCCACTTGCACTTGAACTCAGCACATGCTGAAGTGCAGTAACTTTCGATACCTCAGATGACGAAGGGGAAACGAAAATGAAACTTGACTCAGTTAATAAACCTATAGGTAAAAGGTTTGCAGTGATGATGTATGACTGTTCATCCATACAACTAATTTAAAGCAACTTATTTCTCATCGAATTATTCTCACTAATTATTAAAAAAGCACAACACTTAGAAGTTAGACCACAACAATTCATTCAAAATACTCTAAAATAAAAAAAAACTTTTGTAAATAAATAAAGTAGACTACGTCTCCGTCATTATGTGTCTAATACTAAACTTGTAGCCGAATAGCCTACTATACCCTACTCCAAAAAAAGAAAAGAAATAGTTTTGAATTACTTTTCCTGCTGCATAGCGGTGTTCTGTCTACTAAGAAGTATTTTAAACTTTACCTGGAGTATCGGCATGTTTACGTTTCTTTCGTCCAACTCGTCCCTGGGGTTTGAGACCACATGATAAAACCCATCCATCCTTGGTGAGGAATAAAGTTTGCTTTTCTCCGCAGCAGATGTCGGTGATGCCCCTGGGGACAGACCAGGAAACCGGGCTGAGGGCAGTCTGAGCACCGAACTGTCCACTGGAGCCGTCTCCCCACCAGATCAGCTGCACCATGATAACACCATGGACTGTAAATAATGACGATCACACCTGATGTGTTGATGGCATCTGTTCTGGAACTCCCTTTTAATGTTGCATTCAAGTGCTGCCGGGAAATATCACTATCGCGTCAAGTCTTTCAACTCTTATTGTGCGAGTTTAGGATATTGTTTGGATCTGTGGTGATAGTTAAAATGGTTTTACACGACCACACTTGTTAAATAAATAAAACATACTTGTTCCCAAAGAGCAATACATTCCCAAGCATTTCAAGACTATAGCTATAGGCTGTAGTGGTTCCCAAAGTAGGGGTCGGGACCCCCTGGGGGGCACTTAGACAGGTTGCGAGGTGCCTTCCATAAATAAATAAAAAAAGTTTGATTTAAAATATGCATATCTTACCCATTATTGTGGAAATACAATTAAAAATACAACTGTACTTGTTAAGTAAGATTTATGCTGAAATGAAAGTGATGTGAAAACAAATCAACAAGCTTTCATGAAACAGGAGTCAGCTAGAGGGCACCAGAGATTAGTAAAGAGACGAGAGGTTTAACTTTCAAAGTTACATTTTCAGCTTTGTAATGGACCTGGTGCTCATTATGATTTTTTATTCAGGTTTAACCATTAAAAACAAAATTGTAATCACCAATGATTGCCTCATAGATACTGTTTATCATGCTGATCTACTTTTATGGTGCTGTTTTAAAGGCTTTATATGCAATTTTTTGATCCAGCAGATGTCGCCCTTGGGCACCAGCATGAAACCAAAACAACTCACGCTGCATTGTTGTGTTAGCATGCTAATGCTAGCGATCTTTATGATGCTCGTATCTTCACACTGCATGTAAATTTACCTGAAATGAGCGTGATCTAGAAACACAGTTAAGCAGTGAGTACAGTATGTTATTCTTCTTTTCTCTAGTCCCTCAATTAAACAACTTTTATACACGAGGGGAGGAGTCAGCCGGCCGTCCCGGCGATGTAAACAAACTGAAGATAGGACTCTGAAAACATCACAGACAGTGGGACTCGGGTGTTACACCCATTGTAGACAGTCTTGACTCACAGAGTTATTTTCAGAGGATATACTTGATTTATATTATATTTAAGTGTGAAAAAGCACATATAAAGCCTTTGAGTGGTGTGTGTTCATATTCATGATTTTTTAAATAGGCCGTGTGATGTCTTGTGAAGGTTAATGTCCACATGGATTTATTTTTTACATATTCTGTAGTATTAGAAAATGTAATTAGATGAAGATTATTGGCTAACTCTGGTGCAAGTTGAATTGAATTGTGCGCTTCCCCTGTAAAAAGAAAGATCACGTCATAAGCTTCATGTTTGAAAAGAGGCATACATTTATATAGACTTTTTTCATGGACTGGATACTCTGGTTTTCTGACAGTTGTTATATTCTTATATAGTGATGTACAAATTTCAATTTGAAATTACCTCAACAATATAGAGCTAATACGGCACCATTAAGAAATGATTTTATTTCAGATAAATGTGTCAGGATCATTTTGTTGTGCTGTATTTGTAGCACAAAAAGAAAGTGTATTGGTTTTATTTTTACAGAAATGAATCTCAGTAAAGTGCTGGGTTGAGGAGTAACTCCATCCTCAAGGTCAAACTGATACTGAAACTTAAAGTTACACTTTCAATGAAACATTTAATCATGTGATCCCCAGAAGTGTATAACAAATAGAAACATGTAGAAACATAAATGCATTACTTGTTTCTCTGTGCATGCCCTTTTCCAACTGACTGTCCTGTATTGTTATTTCATATCAGGGACTGAGATGTAACCGGATGAAAGGGGCATTGCTTCTCTTGACTATTCCCATTTCTCTTTCCAACATTACAGCTTGGTAAATGAGATTAGATTTAAAGAAGTAAAAAATGTGGGACAGAGAAGATCAGCTTTCCCACCAGTTTCATGTCCAAGATGTAAGATAGGGATGCTTTCACACTGCATTTGGTCCTTCCTTTAGTCCGCCCTGACAGTACGAGGTGTGTAAGCATCTGAAGGGCTCTGAAGCAAAGTGACTCGTGCCTTGTGCCACCACAAGTGTTGTTATCGTGCCATCAGGTTTCTGACATAATTACCACAACAGTTTAAGACATCATTGTATCTAAAGGGTACCATCACGTTCCTCACCAGCTGGCAGGACACTGGAGTCATTTAAGTACAGCCACTTTTACTAGTTTCAGCAAAATATGCCCTTCTTTCCAAAGGAAGTCCCTGGAAAATGTTTTTCCAACATTCGTCCATCTGAAAATATGCAGATAAATGCAGCAATGATATTAGAGGGGAACCACTTTCATTTAGACAAAATGAACAACTCTCGCTTACATCTAACAACAATGGTGTGATTTTGGAAAGATCTTACATAAGAGCATCAAGTTTAAAACCTTTTTATTTCAGAACTGACTAAACTTTAACAGAATAAAGCTTCTTTGGGTAAAAACAAAACAAATATTTTGCGGGTCCACAAAATCTGTTATCTCCTATTCTTTGGAGCACTTCCAAAATTGATGACATCTTTGCTTTCTGGCTTCGGGAGCACAGCTCATGATATCAAGTACTGATTGAACTCTCCATGGAAATTAATGACATACTGGAATTCTTATATTAGGTTATTGTCTTAAATGTATCATTGATCATACGACAGGGTTTTATGAATGTTCCCTAAGGTCCAGATGGAATCTGTAACACGCTGTATAGGCTACTGGTGTACTTGGTATATCAAGGTATGCAAAGTGAAGGTACGCTACGGTTTTCTCCATGCCCATCTGATAAATAGAAATATTAAATATCCATGCCCATTTGTTAGATACAAGATTCACAGAAGATGGTCACCCCCGATGGACTCTTCTTCTCCCCTGACTTTTGCCTCCAGTGTTACCTACAGGGGAATTAGGCTACTTGTGTAACTCACTTAAAGTTAGCCAAGAAACCAAGAGATTTTCTCAAGAAAATGTTGTTTGTTGTCAGTATACTTTGTCTTTTATTTTGAATTGTGCATGCCATCAAGCTAAGGCTACTTTACTGTTTGGACAAAGAATAGCTTTTATTTTGAAGGGAATTAATAAACTTCCGGTGTAAGAAACGTTGTCAAGCCGCTTGAATAGGAAAAGATGAACTTGTTAGGGACAGAAAAGTAAAGGAATAGGCTAAATGTAAACAGCAAATGAACGGTAACAAGTCAAATGTTTATTGTTCAGCAATCCCCTGAGAGGCATTAAGCTCTTACGGGGGTTTGAGTGGTTTATGTGGTCTTTTGTGCTTCGAAATAAACATACAATCATCAGTTCAAGAGTCCAACTGTACAACTGGACCTCCTCCGCTTGCAATCCCACGTCATCAGGTTTCCTAATGGGGGATGAAGGGAGTAGCCTAGGCAATACCTTATCTTGTATCTGTATCCTATCTGAATTTGTCTCATTTCTACACGGCCTCTCTTCTAAATTTACATTATGTTTTATTTTTTATATTTGAATGCCTTGTTTATTCAAACAAGTCTGACTATAATCAAAAAAGCAAATATGTTAGAAAGTGAACTTTTACATTTAGAAGTTAGTAGCCTCCTGTATTTTGAAAATCCCCCAGAAGCATATACGGAAGTTGCATAATAAAGTTCCGCTCCTGATTGGACGATACAACATACGCTAGCTTTGTCCAATAACGTGTCAGCTAGGCGGAGCAATAAGAATATATAAACAGAGAGTCGACGGTGATAAAATAATTCACATTTCTTTACAGAAAAGAAATTAATATCGAACATGTCAGGAAGAGGAAAGACCACCGGGAAGGCCAGGGCAAAGGCGAAGAGCCGGTCATCTCGGGCCGGGCTTCAGTTCCCTGTCGGCCGGGTCCACAGACTGCTGAGGAAGGGGAACTACGCTCAGCGTGTCGGCGCCGGAGCTCCCGTCTACCTGGCGGCGGTGCTTGAGTACCTGACGGCTGAGATCCTGGAGCTGGCTGGAAATGCAGCCCGTGATAACAAGAAGACCAGGATCATCCCCCGTCACCTGCAGCTGGCTGTCCGCAACGACGAGGAGCTCAACAAGCTCATGACTAACGTCACCATCGCTCAGGGCGGTGTGCTGCCCAACATCCAGGCTGTCCTGCTGCCCAAGAAGGCCGAGAAAGCTGGCAAGGCCAAATAAGTCGTCCTTGAACGCAACACCACAAAGGCTCTTTTAAGAGCCACACACACATCCTATCGAGTCTCTTCCTGTTACAGTGAAAATTACGTAGTCACTAAAAAGCAAGTGCCTTCAAGTCAGGTCTTAAAATACTTTAGGCGCTGACAGGAAAAGAAAAGTAAATGGAGGCTTTCAAAGACTTTACATTTTCACATGTTATTCTTCTTGTGTAGACTGCTTGTTTAGGTAGATGCGCTTTACGGACACCAGACTGAAAGCGCTTAATATAAATCAATAAATACACACATTAATAGATTAGTATATTACTTAAAGGCTACATAGAGTTGTTTATCAATCATACAATCTACAGTACAAGGCTTAAACTAGTTCATCAAGTTTTCCTAACCGAACAAGAGAAGACATAATTCCCGGGGAGGAGAAAAACCCTGATTCACATTATAACAAATACCCTGTAGGTTACTGTCAGCAGATACTGTAAATAGATGTAATAATAACACTGATCAAGTCATTTTAAAAACAATGTACAAATGAAAGGCTGCAGAGTAATACGATTATTTTAATGTAAGGCTAAATGTATTTGAGTTTCATGCCAGAATCACAGATCATCCATATCACGTCTTTGTGCCAAAATCAATTTTATTTACTATTATTTTTTTTTTTTATCTTCAATACAATAATTATGTTGTTTAACTGACTCTCACTGAAATATAATTTCCACATACAGATTAAACACTGCCATCTTATATTTGATTTGTATTAAATTAGGCTCTTCCTCATTCATCAATCAGTCACAAAGACTTAACTTAAACTCCATTTTTAAATGTTTGACAACAAGGACAGAATCTGACTACCCAAAGGCACAGGACCAAACAGTATGGCACTACATAAATATATAAATGAAGATAAGAGTTCATGGATGGACTACAGGAAGTTAGTACCAAGTAGGATGTATAATACCAAAGAATCAAACAGTTGTGAATTTAAGAGGCCCGTTCAACTATAACCGCCAATTATGGAGCTTTTATTTTGAAGGCTTCAGTTTGTAACCGGATATGCAGTGGCTAACATTGTCTAGTTTCATATCGGAAGAGAAAAGTGGCGGGCTGAGCTCGAGCTGGTTTTCTTCCTCAACGTCCGCTCGGAGGATTTAAATCCGGACTCTCTCCGGTTCAGAGTCAGTTCGTCTTCAGAAGAATTATCATCTTATCAGAATGAGTGGTCGCGGAAAGGGAGGGAAAGGACTCGGCAAAGGAGGCGCCAAGCGTCACCGTAAAGTCCTTCGTGATAACATCCAGGGAATCACCAAGCCCGCCATCCGCCGTCTGGCTCGCCGTGGCGGTGTGAAGCGGATCTCCGGTCTGATCTATGAGGAGACCCGCGGTGTGTTGAAGGTGTTCCTGGAGAACGTGATCCGTGACGCCGTCACCTACACCGAGCACGCCAAGAGGAAGACCGTCACCGCCATGGATGTGGTTTACGCTCTGAAGAGACAGGGCCGCACCCTGTACGGCTTCGGAGGTTAAACCTGTTACTCCACCTGGATACTAAACAAAAGGCTCTTTTAAGAGCCACACACATCACCTAGAGAGCTTTATTCACACTCATTTAACTAACACTTTACAATAGATCATTACATTATAACCCAACTGTTTAACTTAGTGATGTGAAAAGCAGTTCTTTTCAGTGTACTGAATCAGTAGAATCAGTTCAGTGAAGTGATTCGTTCACCGAATCGTTCATTACTTCTCTGCAGCTCTGTCTGTGAATCAGAATTTAATAAGCTGAAATACGACCGAACGTTTAGTTCTGCTCGCGAACAGCCGGTGGTGAATAATAAACCAATGAGCTGAGAATTTAGTTGGATAAAGCTACAGTTTGCAAGTACTGAACGATTCGGTGAACGAATCACTTTACTGAACTGATTCTACTGATTCAGTACACTGAAAAGAACTGCTTTTCACATCACTAGTTCAGTACACAAATCACTCACTGACTGTCTGACTGAGAGGAAGAGAGTGACTCGGAGGCGGAGCTCTCGTTCAGTTCGTTCGTCCGCTCTTCCTCTCATTTCGTTCAGTGATTCACGTCGGAGCTCTCGTTCAGTTCGTTCAATGAACGACAGTTCCGCTCTTCCTCTCAGTTCGTTCATTGATTCACGTCGGAGCTCTCGTTCAGTTCGTTCAATGAACGTGAACGAGCGAGACTGCGAGTCACCAGCCTCAGTCACACACACACACTGTCCTGACTGAAACACGATCGTTAGTAGATGTTAAAACAGTCAGCTGAGTTAAATTAAGTTGGATATAAAAGCCGTTTGTAAACTGACGGCAGCTATAAAAAGCACATACATTTTCGCGACACCTAAATGTTAAATAATATATTTTCTACTTCCTCAATTTTGGAGACATGAGAGGGAGAAGTAGGGGCGGGCTTTAGTGACACAGAGCTCCCGACCGACTACGTCCTGTTGGTTCAGTCAGTACATATCACTGACATGAAGAGAGAGGGAGGGCGGGCTTTGGGCGACTCTTACAGTCTGGAGAGAGAGACGTGAGAGAGGAGAGAGGAGAGCGCAACTGACGTTGAGAAATGAACGACTCTTTTCAATAAGTGATTCAGTTCAGTTCGTTCACCCAGATGATTCGTTCGTTTTGAACGAATCGTTTATGACCGACACATCACTAGTTTAACTTACAAGTTATGTCATTTTGGTCCTTTTCGTAGAGTCACGGATGGAAGCTTTTTTTAACCTAATTGCTCCTCTTAACTCCGGTACTAGAGAAGTCTGACGGCCGCAGAAATCTCGTCTTCTACGCATTAAGGGCGGCAATCGAGTTTAAGTGCCCCATGTAACATCATTTTTTTTTTTTCAATCATCATATGTCCAAAATGTATATTTTGCACTTTGAAAATAGTGACAAGAATCTACCCTTTATTGCAGATACTTGAAAAACGGATAATGAATGAGTTTAAAGGATGATTGTTTCCACTTCGTGTAATGACATGAACAGTTGTAGTGTTGTGGCGGAGACCTGCAGCTCTGAGTGGGGTGAAGTGGCTCTTAAAAGAACCTTTGTTTTCTGTATTATGGAGTTTTATGCGGCGGGCCAGCTGGATGTCTTTGGGCATGATGGTGACCCTCTTGGCGTGGATGGCGCACAGGTTAGTGTCTTCAAACAAACCGAGCAGGTAAACCTCGCTGGACCCCAACTCTTGTTGGTCTAATGTGTGCAGGTGATACAACAGTTCAACAGGGGCTCGGACAAAAATAGGTCCAAGTTTACTAAAGGTGTCATCATCTCAGTTAAAAGTATGGACATGCGTTTGATATTACAAGTGTGTGCTCATCTCCTTAATATTATTGTAGTTTTCTAACAGAAATATGTATTTTATGTCTTTCCCCAACTTGTTTCATCTTCACCAAGTGTCCAAAAGCATAAAAACATTCACAATGATTTGTGAGTCATCATTTTATTTTCAATTCACAATTGTTGAAAAGGAGTCACGTTTGATTTATTTCTTAAAGAATCGAGAACAAGACCAAATAGTTACAAGAAAAACAAATCTCTGTTTATATAAAATACACAATTTTAGACATGTTTTCTCCCCCCCCCCAAAGTATAACAGTATGAATCTGAACAGGTGATAATATATTGATAAATTGATAGTTATGTTTTAAAAGTATGATTATATTTATCTGATCAGTCAGTCAATCTTTATTTGTTTCGCACCAATTCATAACAAATGTTATCTCGAGATACATTTAAAAAGGAGCAGGTAAAAGACCTTACTCTTTGTTATTTATATCGACAAAGACCCGACATTAATCCATCAAGAGCACAGCACTCAGCAACATTAGCAGAGTGAAGGGCTTAATAATAAAAACTTTAGGCCTAGTAGTTATTCAATTAACATTTATCAATTGAAAATGTAAAGAAACTCACTACTCCAATTCATGTGAATGTCTCTTGAATGAGGGGACATTTCACTCTAAATTAATACATGGAGGGTTAGATGGTTCTCAAACCCGTAATCCCCTGATCCAGTCCTTGTATCTCGGTTGACAGACATCCATGAATGCAGCTGGTTTAACACAGGCATGAGTACCATTCATCGTGAAACTAATGACCCCGTAAATCTTGGAACCGTGCACCACTCCTCCACCAGAGTCTCCCTGTGGAAGAGATTTAAACTGTATCATTTGTTTAAAAACTTTGAATCAGTAAAATGGTCAAACACCCAATGACTGTATCAAACAAACAAAGTTAAAATCCATTCAAACTCACTAGAGATATATCCACTGTATCAGATTGTCCACAGAACCAGCGTTGGTAGAGTCTGGACAGGTCATCTGGGTGAAGGCTGCGCTGCAAACAGTTCCTAGAGGTCTCACAGCTGACAACGGGAATGTCTGCACACTGCAGAGTTGTTGGTCTGTCATTTCCTACGAGAATAGAAAAAGAACATATTTAATTAAAATAAAACTTTATCATTGTTAAGAAAACTCCTCATTGGACTCGGATTTTTAAAAATACTTTATTAAATGAATTCAAACATGTATCCTATAGAGTTAATAAATAAAGTATGTCCTTCACTAAAAGTCTCCTGAACTAAACAGAGCTTGAATTTGCTGCATTGAGTTTGAGAAGAGGAAACTTTTCTGTTAAACATATTTGATGTTTAAGTTTGTTCAAAAAATAATAATAATGTGTTTTTAAAAGTTCTGTAATTCTACCAAGAAAACAAGAAAAAGTGATGAAAATAAAAGAGTAAATGTATTAATGATAAGTAATTGCTTTATATATATATTTTTTTACCTCTTTCATTATTTGGACCCATGAACTTGGATGCATAACCTGCAATCTCGACTGTTTGTCTGAAACATAATAGGACAAGAAAATTAAATTAACAACTTTCACATACTTTTGTTTTGCTTTGTTATTTTTCCTCAAAAGTTGAGTTTTGAGATGAATTAAAGAGGTGACATCAATACTCACAGTTTGTTACGTTGATTACATTCAGTAGTGGTTGGAAATTTTACATGTTGAATTTGAGTGGAGTCACGTAGCTTCAGCAGCATGAGGTCATGTTCTCTTCCATTTCCGTTTTCTTTGAAGGTCTCATTTTGTGTGATATCCATTTCTATAAGACCTGGACCTACATATGCAGTTACATGTCTACAAATAGAGGTGAATAAACACATCAGTGAATGACTGAGAACACATTTTCATATCGGGTTTGTCATTACTGAATATAAGCAATGCCATCTTCATGTTGGGAATGTTATCAGGAATACCACAGTACATTTTTTAACAGGAGAATATCATTTTAGTCTTTTTTTCTCTCTCACCTCTCCAAGCAGTGAGCTGCAGTCAGAATCCAGCGGTCACTGATCAGAGAGCCACCACACATGAAGTAAACAGTCCCATTATATCCTTCCACTTAAACATGGTAATCACGTGTTTGACATGGTCTACCTCCAACGATTCTCTTCTGTAGATCCACAGCTGTGCTCACTGTCACACCTGAAAGAGAGAGGTACCCACCAGGTGACTGTGAGTTGGAACAATGATTGTCACAGAGAATAACTGTTGTTCAGAGTTTGGACATGGGAAATCAAGTGTGCTAGCTTTCTGGAGGAAGTTGAATTCTGTTAAAAGCACGCTGACTATGACAGTTAAGTACCAGTACACATGAAAAGAAAACATTAGCCACTCACCAGCACAGAGTAAAAGCAGAAGACGTGTCATGCCACCCATCTTTCTGTGAATATCCTCGTGGAGAACATTGGTGCAATTTAAATGTTTTCAGAGCGTCCTGTTACACCTCAACCACCAATCACCTCATGACATGTATCCATACAACCCCATTGGCTACAGAGTTATTTTCATGTGCAAATTTGAAATCACTTATCAAATACTCTTTTTAAAAAAGAAATAAAGAAAAGTCACTTCAGCTAAATTAGCAGGAGTATTTTTTAAATTCATTGATGGACAGAAATGTCTTTGTTTGTATTCTTAAAAATAAAACATTTCAAAGGAATTTGTTTAAAAGAATTAAGTTAGATGTTCAGAATCAGCTTTATTGTCCAGTTATGCTCACAAACACACTTTGGTGAACTGTACTCTAAATGTACAAAAAGTACAACATAAATATCAACAATAAACACAAAATGAGCAACGACTGATATGTACAGTTCTAAATGAGATAATAGTGCAGAGGTGCAAAAATGTCGAGTTAAACATGACAATAAATGTGTTATTATGTAACAGACGGTTAATTTACATGAGGTAGAGAGTGTTTACAGTATTGACAATAAAGGTCTGCACTAATTAAGTTATTGACCCTATTGAGTTGAAATATTCTCATGTACATTCGCGGTGGGTCTGTGAGGAGTGAAGAGTCTGCAGTGATGCCACCTGCCTGTTTCCTGACCCCAGACTGGTATAAGTGCTGGATGGGGGGGCAGGTTGGCACCTATGATTTTATTTTTGCAGACCTGATTGTGTGTTGCAGTTTGTGTCTGTCCAGTTTAGGTTGCAGATCCAAACCAGACAGTGATGGAGGTGCAGAGAACAAACTGGATGATGGAGGTGTAAAACACTGCATAGAGTATGTTGTTCATATTATTTTCTCGTGTTCATATTTTTCCTAGAAGAATAACCAATTCTCACCATAACCGTCTCTACAAACCTCTCGTTGTTAACATGGGAGCTGCCAGAAATGTTGAACCCCAGCTGCTTGTCTGTGATGCTGAGAGCTTGAACAGCCATAGTTCATGAGTGTCCTGGCACTTCTCCTTGTCTGTGCAAGATCTGGAAAATGTAAAACTATGTTCAAAGTTCAACCTACATTACCTCATGTAAAAAAAACCTCCAGTTTTGAGGGCTTTGAATGTTTTAGCATGGATTTTAACGACTAAATGTCAAAGACATTATCAAAATGACCAGAGGAAATGTCCACTACAGATAAAAGAAGGTGGTTATTTGGTTAATAAAATGAAGCTCACACACCCTAAATTCTCTCCATCCTCTGAATTTTCCTTGTCGTGTCAAAGTTTATCATATTTTATTGAACAAATATTCAGCACACCGTTCGGCTGCTTTTATTCCCTCAGTGAATATATCCAAATGTTCATGCAAATTTCACCATCTCAGTGAAATGTTTCACACATGGTCTCCTTGTATTCTGACGATAACTGACAGACACATTAAATATTCGGTGCACTTTTGCTAATACCCTACGCTATCACACTTTCTCAAATACACACACATGTTCACAAAGAGAGACACTTCAGTGTTCATAGCCGTATGGTGTGCTGCAGATTTGTTTAATAAAGTATGATATACTTTGACACCATGAGGAAAGTTCAGGAGATACACTTAGGATGTGTGAGCTTCATTGTTTTGAAGAGCCAATGAAATGATTTAATTAGTCAATAACCATCTTGTTTCATCTTTAGTGGACATATCTCATTTAAAAATATGAAAATTTTTGGTAAAAACATAAAAAAGGTTAACATTTCAATATATGGTGAGATGAAGATTTTATGTGAGCAGTGTTTTCAGAATTTATTTAACTGCACAAGAGTCCAAAAGCATTAAATACAATCACAATGGGATTGTGAGTCATCATTAGAGACGCAACAGTCCACTTTTTTTCAGTTCCAATCCTATAACGATACTGATTGGGATGTTTTTATTATCATTTTGTTGTTATTGGTATTATTGGTGAGGTTACACAACAGTAAGCCCTGCATTGCATTGTGCTGGCTTCACATACAAACAGGAAGCAGCAACAACTGTCAGGTTTTCAAAGTAAAGCTTTTAAACTGAATTGTAAGAATTGTACTTTTGATCATATAGAAGGAGCTGTTCCATCTTGTCTGAACGTCGTCATGGAGACGACTTGTGTACACGTCTTATAGTTCAGTCTGAACGTCTTCAAAGATCAGTGATGTGGATTGAGGCCATCAGTCTGATGTGCCATACGTAAATTACGTCAATACCGGACCCGACACTGATATAAGATCCCATCTCTAGTCATCTTCATTTTATTTTCCATTTCACAATCTGGTAAAAGGAGTCACATTGTATTTCATTCTTGAAGAATAGCAGAGTATAATGACTAAACTGAGTGTGGCAGTAGCTCAGTCTGTGGGGACTTGGGTTGGATCACGGTATGCAAATTGGTCTGGTTGCTGAAGAAGTGCCAGGTCCCGTCCTGAGTACTGTGAGGTGCCCTTGAGCAAGGCACTGAACCCCCTACAGCTCAGGAGGGCTCCCTGTGAGCAGCTCCCTCTGGCATCTCTGCATTAATGCATGTCCATAGTTTGTGCATGTGTGTATTTCGGGCCTCAATACTCTGGAATTATTAAAAGTAAATTAAATAAGTATTAGCCAGCAAAATATCTGCTCTTGTTTGAAACTCCTATAATACAAACAAAAAGAGTACTACATACTGAGAATGTGTGAAATAATGAAGAGTCAAACATAATAGACCTAAAGCAGAGATGAAGCAGTGACTTTATGTACATCTTATTCTCCAACAACTTGACATGTAAAACCAGAAAGTTTTGAAAGAGATTAAAATTCAAGACAAGAACCAAAAGAAAACATGATACTGTCAAACCTCTCTAGAGTATTAATTTAACTTAGTGTATCTTTAAATAGTATAAAATAAAGATGTTTCATTTGGCAGGTTTAAGAAATAAAAACAAGAACTGTCAAATATGTGCAATCTTTTAAAATAAGCCTTCATAACTTTATTCTGCAGTGTCTTTTTTCCCGAAGCCCCCTTTTGTTGAATAGCCTGCAGGAGCTTGGTCTGCATCCTCTCCTTGATCGGGTTCCTGCGGTAGAGGGGCAGTAGTAGCAAACTATAGCAGGTGTGGGACTCTGGACGATGGGTCTCATTGGAATCAGGAAGGACATCGACTCTCATCCTGATGCTCTCCATACCCAGGAAGGGAAGGCGGTCGAAGCCGGTGAGAAACACTTGAAACAAAAATAAGAAGGAGATCGTGTTGATCTTCTTCAATTTGAATTAATGATGATAATCACTGTCACGTGTAACACTTACAAAGGAATTTCTTCTTATCCTCGGCTGTCAGTTTCTCAAACACCTCCCAGAAGGTAACGATGTTTGGATGCTCAGCATGATAGACTCCTTCATAGACTGTGTTCTGTTTGAAAAAATATAAACAAATATAAGTAGAAATGGAATAAAAGGTTCATAAAGGGCCATGGTCCCGAGGTAAGACATGACTTTAAAAAAAGACGAGGAAGTAGCGGACGGAGCCACAGTGTCCGCTATATGATGAGAATATTTGCCTTTAAATCAATGCTACGTGTAGTTCAACAGAATCACAATGTCAACAAACGAGTGGAGAACAACATACTGATGAACAGACGATGTAATGCATGGAGATCGTTGCTGTCAAGTGCAGACAGTTAATGCACTGGCTCCAGTCACAGTATCACATCACTTCCCCCTCCCATTGGCTCGAGCTAAATTCTCCTGAGAATATCTGCTCCATTCTCACATCACCCCTCTTGGACTTGCTGCAGAAAAAAATACTAGGGGTCTGGCAGGAGAAACTCCAGGTGAAGTCTGAGTGAAGAAATTTCAGGACTTGTGTGAAAGCCCATTATGGTTGCTCATGCATGAGCATAAGCATTGCGTGGACGTGATCTAGAGCCTTATAGATGCAACTGTTCCTCAATTTAAACAATCGCGGCAAAGGGTTCATGTTAGTCCGATTCAGAGGTAGAGTGTTTCCTCCTAATTTGGACTGACATAAATATTCAGGCTGTCTGAACTCATTCACTATTTAGTGCACTATAATGGTAAATAGACTTAGACCTGGAGACAACAAACAAATGAGTATTGACAGAGATGAGCGCTGGCACGCTACCTCCCTCATGTGGTCTCCTTGGGCAATGACACACACAATGCACATCACATTGTAAGAGTACATTTAAAAATAGTAGGTACAGGCAGCTGATGTATGAGTTACAGGAATAAACTACTACATGGTTAAACCCAAGAACAAGGGACACACCACTTTGCAGCAATGACCGAATTCTGATTGAGCATAATCGTACCCTGTATGGTCCAGTCATTGTATCCCACAATGCATTGTGAAAAGTAGTACACAACTGATGGTCACTATCCCAGTAATATACTTGAATGCATTGCGGTTCAAGATTTTGCGAGTGGAAAGTGGTGTTTGACTCGACTGCAAGAAGAGCAACCACCAAGAACACAGAAACATAAACATTTCATATATGGTGGCGTTTACTGAAATCTAGAAGCTGTTTTATTAATAATGAGTAAAAGATTGTCAGTAGAGTCAGTGCAGTGGAACTTTAGTTTGACCTAATGATGATGACAGACACCCACCAGAGTCTATGTCGAGTTTTAGTTTGTCCATATGTAAAATCGTTCATTGATAACTTAATATTCTATATTTATTTATTTCATTTTTTTTACCTGTTTTGTGAAAATAAACTCAGAACGAGATAAGTTATCACTGGAATTCATGTTGTTATTATTGATCTTCGGCCAGAATTATGCTGCACAATTTAGTTGTCGGTGAGTGAGCAAAGTAGTGTACAACATTTTTTTTGACCTCTGAATTATCCACCATTACTGCTCTGTTTTTTTTGGACCATAAACCAGCTCCTGTGTTTATTGTGTTGCTCTTGGATCCAGTCCTTCATTTAAATCGTAACACAAACTTTTGTTTCATCATTTACCACAAGCCCCCTGCGGAAGGCGCAGTGGTCGGCTGCAGCGAGTTGTTTGAAGGTGTCCTCCACTAGGTGAGTGCGTCTCAATGTGAGCAGGAAGCCGTAGTACTCAGACAGCTAGGTAAAATAATTAAACATTAAACAGTTAAAATATGTTTGAAGATAAATGCTGTAGCATTAATGTATACCTGCAGGATAATTGTTAGTCTATCCCTAATACATTCTGTACCTTCAAGATGTTGGCACAGCTGTCAAAGACCTCCACCTTCTGAACCAGAGGGAACACATCTTTGTTTGCCTGTAAAAAAAAGACAACCATATCAACAACTGAAGACGCTACAGGGGAGCTCATATTGGGTCGGGGGCCGGATTCACATCACTATAACTCAACACATGGATATATAGGCTGCTGTATTATTATTTTTTAAATCAAAATAAACTACTTGAACAGAGAACTGTATGTTAACAGTAGGAAAACAGGTCAGGTATTAATCACCCCGGCGCAGTCTAGGCCTGTGAAGGCTGTTTTGTCATGAGCCGGGGATCCGGCCGAAGATTTCTGCCTTTTAATAAGGCAGTTTTTTCTTACCACTGTAACTTTTGCTGCTTTGCTAAAGTGCTCATGATGGATAGGCCGGGTCTTTGTAATATAGCAATAAGTAAGGTCTTTTACCTGCTTTTTGTAACATAACAATAAGTAAGGTCTTTTTAGAGATGAGATGAGATGAGATGAGATTCAACTTTATTGTCATTACACATATACAAGTATAGAGTAACGAAATGAGGTTTGGCATCTCACCAGAAGTGCAAATAAGCAGAAAGTGCAAGAGTCTGTGCTATGTACAGTAATTACAAAATTTACAGATGTAGACTAAAAAAAGTGAATTATTAGGTATATATGGATGGCTGGATTAATGGGATGCTATAAATATAAATAAATGCTATAAATATAAGTGTATTCTTAGGATTATAATATACAGATTAAGGTGCAGTGAGCATGCTATACTAGTTTACAGATAATATAAAGAATATGGACATATTGTACAGGTCGATAACTTATTGAGGTGATATGAACATACTATAATACAATAATACAGATGGATGAGAGATGTGTGTGTGTGACCAGGAGGAGTGGTGGGGGGATGATGGGTGTGAGGTGATATGCAGGGGAAAGGGGGGGGTCAGCAGGGGGCGGAGAGAGAGAGGGAGAGAGAGAGAGAGAGAGACAGAGTTCAGAGTTCGGGGGGTAGAGTTCAGTAGAGAGACAGCTCTGGGGAAAAAGCTGTTCCTCAGTCTGCTGGTTCTGGTCCGGAGGCTTCTGAAGCGCCTACCGGAGGGCAGGAGGGTAAACAGTCTGTGGGCAGGGTGGGAGGAGTCTTTAAGGATGCCGTGAGCTCGCTGCAGACAGCGTTTTCTTTGGACATCCTCAATGGCAGGAAGTGGACACCTTGTGATGCGCTGGGCGGTTTTTACCACCCGCTGTAGCGCCTTACGGTCTGTGACAGAGCAGTTTCCGTACCAGACTGAGAAACTGCTGGTCAGGATGCTCTCGATCACACAGCGGTAGAAGTTCATCAGTACAGCTGAAGACAGGTGGTGTCTCTTCAGTGTCCTCAGGAAAAAGAGGCGTTGATGAGCCTTCTTAACCAGACTGGAGGTGTTAGTGGACCAGGAGAGGTCCTCTGTGATGTGGGTCCCCAGGAACTTGAAGCTGGAGACACGTTCAACAGCCATCCCGTTGATGTGAATGGGGTTGTGCGTGCTTCCTCTTTCTCTCCTGAAGTCCATGATGAGCTCCTTCGTCTTGCTGGTGTTGAGGAGCAGGTTGTTGTCAGCACACCAGGCGGCAAGATGCTGTACCTCCTCCCTGTAGGCCGTGTCATCGTTGTTGCTGATGAGGCCAATCACCACCGTATCGTCCGCAAACTTGATGATTGTGTTGGATCCATGTACAGGTCTGCAGTCGTGGGTGAAGAGGGAGTAGAGGAATGGGCTCAGCACACAGCCCTGTGGTACGCCTGTGTTGAGTGTGATGGTGGTGGAGCAGGTGTGTCCTGACCTAACATACTGGGGTCTGTTGGTTATCCAGTGACGGAGGGAGGTGTTGAAGCCCAGGTCTCCGAGTTTAGTGTTTAACTTGGAGGGGATGACAGAGTTGAATGCTGAGCTAAAATCAACAAACAGCATTCGTGCGTATGTGTTGTTATTGTCCAGATGTGTGAGCACAGAGTGCAGCGCAGTGGAAACTGCATCCTCTGTACTCCTATTGCTGCGGTAGGCAAACTGGTATGGGTCCAGTGTGGGTGGGAGGCAGTTTTTCAGGTGTGCTAGGACCAGTCGTTCAAAGCACTTCATTATGATGGGTGTTAGTGCTACAGGGCGGTAGTCATTCAGGCCTGTCGGGCTGGAGCGTCGGGCTGCTTTTTGTAACGTAACAAAGAGTAAGGTCTTTTACCTGCTTTTTGTAAAGTGTCTTAAGATAACACTTGTTATGAGTTGACGCTATACAAAATAAATTGAATTGAATTAAATTAATCATTATGCTATCCTTGCATAATATGAAAAAGATGTATTTCAAATGTGATTTTTTTTTAGCATTCACTAAAGATTAATTTATAAGACAGCAGATATTTAATAAGAGAACATCAAGTCCAATTTTCACGCTTTTTAAAGTTATTTAGAAGGAAACATCAGTTTTAACAACTCGTGATTTATTATAACGTATATATATATTATGTAGTATATTTTTTAAAAGTGTTGTGTAATAGGATAAGTTAGAAATACTAAGCACACGGAGGGACATATAAACTTTACATCACAGTTAAAATATTCAATCTTTTCTTTTTCATGGCTGTATTTAACATTGAGTTTGTAACTTTATGTTTTTTTAAACTCTCGACAGTAAGCTCATGATTCATTACACATCTGAGCAAACCCGTGACAATAAAAGTACAAAAGTTATTTACTTAGTGTTTTGCCATTCTTCAAACTCAGATCTGCGATAAGTTGGGACAAAGGCAGCACGATGTAAAAGACAGCAAGGCCCTCTTGGAGGAGAGGGCATGTCAGCAGAACCATCAAGATCTCCAAAGATTGGATATCATTTTTTGAAGCCCAAAGTAATTCAACCAGGTTGTTTAGTGTTACCTGAAAAGCAATGAGCATTATTAGATAACCTGACAATGTTTGCACAGCATAGGTGTTTGCAAAGGGATAAACCTGTGGCTACTGCCTTTCTTTAATCTCAGAGCCTTTCAAGTCACAACTGATTATTATGGGTGCACTCACACTAGGCCAAGTTGTCCGGTACCTGAAGCACGATTGCCTAAAGCCTAAACACACCTCTTCCAACCATGCCAGGACAGAGGAAGTCAAACGAACCAGACTTTAGGTGTTAAATTTGCTTTGGCACAGTACAGATTGCCTAGTGTGAGTGAACCCTATGTCTCTCGATGAAAAACAATCTATGTCCTTAACTGTTTGTTTGATCCATGGTACTGCCAGCAGCTGGTCGAAGACTCTGCTGGCTGCCTCAAGGTCCACAGTCAGGGCACCTGCTGTTTTTGGAGACCTACTGAGACAAAGAGCAAAGTATTAAAACAAAGTTAAAATGGTCAGAGTTAATGACATTCAGGTTACATATTTACTAAGTTATAAGTTTTCTTTCTGAACATCAGAACTGATTTGGTACATTACATCACAAACCGCTGCAGCTGATAATCAACTCACTTTGTCTTTGTGAAACTTGCAACAAGACTGGAACTTGTAGAAAACATTGAACATATTTCTCTGTTGAAGAAAGAAAGAGATACCTTAGGTACACACCAGAGTCGTTTTTCATGAATGAATTAGTTACTTTCCAGATTCAATAACGCTCTTACAATGACTGACATTTAAAAGCCCACGTTACTGGTTACTTTATGTCTTCGTTACTTCAGCCGACAACAAGCGGGCGAGGTTACTCTAACGTCAGCACAGTAGCATCCAGAAAGAACGTTGCGCGTAGTGAACAAACACAGGTGATCGTTCAGCCGTGAGTGCTCTGTCTCAGAAAAAGTCTGTGTGCAGGAAGGATAACTTATCTCAAAAGAACGAAGCACCGAGCTCAACAACACGCTTCTACTAAACTTTCTGTCAGAGAGCCGACACCCGCAGATACCCAGGAGCAGCTCACGTTAGCTCTGCAGACCAAGGAGGAGACACTCCAAACAGAAAAAGCTTAAATTAAAACACGGCCTGCATCACCAGGTGTAGGCTGGATTATAGACTGATAGACAGGTTTGATGTTGACGTCATGCTGTTGAGTCTGTGGCCTTCAGCGATCTAATCGGTGAAATACGTACATATTGAAAATGACTCAAGTGTTATTTGAAATGTGCGAGTTGTCAAAGCAACACTAAAGGGATACTTCACCCATTTGCATTAATCTTTGTATCATTAAAAACCAGAGGTGTCAAGTAACAAAGTACAAATACTTCGTAACCTTACTTAAGTAGAAATTTTGGGTATCTATACTTTACTGGAGTAATTATTTTTCAGCCGACTTTTTACTTCTACTTCTAACATTTTCACACAATTATCTGTACTTTCTATTCCTTACATTTTAAAAATAGCCTCGTTACTCCTATTTCTTTCCGGCTTGTTTTCATTCCGCCTTGTCATCGTTCAAAAAAACACAAAACGAAACAAAAACCTATCCAGATAAATCGCGCCATCCGGATAAAGTGAATTTGACCATACAAGGGTAATTGTTACTAAGCCTGCCCTGGGTACACCAATTTTCTTAACCAGTTTTGTTATCTTACATCCGTTGCCCTCACAGATTCCTGCAGCTAAGCTTGGATGTACATTTACATTCCAATAAAGGCTATTGATAACATGCCTCTAAAGACTTTTTGCACCATTACAATACTTATAGACAACTAGTCATCATATCTTCCTCTCCATGAAACACATGTTAATGCTCAGTAGTACACAAATATGGTTCTTTAATGTGTTTGCATTGTACTAAAATGCGTTCATTTTCAATGGGCATAAATGTGGCTGAAACAGGTGCATCCCAAATTTTTAAACATTAACATTTTAATATAACATTATATTCATTATGGCCTTTAAAAAAATGTTTTTGGGGGGAGGTGGGGTAGAGCACTATAGGCCCCTGTGGCGCGGCCTAAGCTTTCGTCCTCAATGGCATTTTTTTCCCCCTTACATTACTTTTACTTTTATACTTGAAGTACTTTTGAAACCACTACTTTTACACTTTTACTTGAGTAAAAAGCTTGAGTTGATACTTCAATTTCGACAGAAGTCTTTTTAAACCTTAGTATCTATACTTCTACCTGAGTAATGAATGTCAATACTTTTGACACCTCTGTTAGAAACCTGGTAGTATTTTTGAATGGTCGTGCATCCGGCCCTCATTTTCCCCTGAGATGGGAAATCTTTGTATTTCTGAGTCTGAAAAGGAGCTTCAAGTGATGCAAAAATCGCCATTTTGCGTCAACGCTAGTTCCTCATATTTTCAACCACTAAAGCTACAGACCAATCACAGAACAGTGGGTGGGACCTATTATGATTCAACTTCAAACTGATATGGATGAAGGGGATTTTGAAGGCTGGTAGTATTGGTGCTCTCACTGTTTGCCTATGGACACAGACACAGAGTCTGTTTTCTGCCAGGAATTTCCAAGATGCTGATTCCTTCTGGAAGAAATCTCTGACTAAGTTGAGGAAACGGCCGTATGTGTTGAAGTAAATATGTCTGTAAATAAAGCCCAAGCTTCAGTGGGAATATTTCTACAACATGTATAACCTATTCATGTTTAAACGGGTGAAGTATCCCTTAAATAATGTATTCATTAATATGAAGACTGACTCAAATAAAGTAACGCTGAATTGACTTTCTCAATGCAGTTTGATAGTAATAACGAGTAACCGGTAGTTGTACAAACAAGATAACATTCTGGATAAAGACCTCTTTGCCTCGGCGTTCTCCGGTATCGCAGACAGCCATTGTTTCAGTTTCGTCTCATCAAGCCTTCCTGTTATCTGTCCTCTGTCCGAGCTCTGAAATACAGACAGATGATATATTCTTACAGCAATCAAATCATCATCAGCTTTGTTTACAAATCTGCCAGCCGTCTACGCCTCATACCACAACATGGTAAATTATTTGATACCACTGTTTTTTCACAGATTTTACTCCCAGCTGATGCACATTTCTGGGGAAGTTTGCAAGATTCAAGACCCTCTTTTTATGAAGACTATAATCTAATCATCTTTGGCAGCCACCTCAGAGGAGTAGTAGGAAGTGCTCTGCTTTATTATTGAATTCATCTCTACAATGCTGATAAATTCCATCACTTTCCTCCTATAAAATCACCGCAGAGTGCATTGATCTATGAATACATTCATACCTTCGGGTTTGGCGGCTCCATTGTCACTGGTCCATGGAAGTTGTACTTGAGTGGGCGTCAGACAATCACCTGTTCCTCCAGTCCCAATTTGACCCTTTGCCCCATGACCAAAAGCCCACAGTCGGCCAGAGGAGCCCAACACCAGGGTGTGACGTCTGGACGACAGGAACAGGAAAGGTTATTCAGTAATTAATGGTCAATCTCACATACTTTAATGTCAAATTCAACGTCTTAAGTTAGACATGGCAAACTCTGAAACACCTTTTAATTACAAAGACTCCTTTAAATCAAACGGTTTCAGTGATTCATCCTCCTCATTTCTTTTTACCTGCCACATGAAATCTGTGTGGCAGATCCGTCCAGACCGTCAAGCAATCTAGGAGCCTTTTCATTGTCAGTGGAGTTGTGACCGAGCTGACCGTTGCTTCCTTCTCCAAAGTTGAAAACTCTACCGTCCTAGAAAACCACAGCATTGGAAAAGAAAACCTTACATTGTAGTTATCTTTAAAATGTGATAACTTTGAACATGTACAGCATATCTGAGTGAGGCGTGGAGTGAGGTTTGTACCTTTGTTAACACTGCAGAGTGCGCCTCTCCACAGCTGATAAAAGACACATCCAGAGGCCTGAGGGCAGGAGCCACACAGATGTTGAACTTGCCTGTGATGACGACATTTAACACGAGATGGAAAGAATTCAAGAGCAGGATTTGAACCAGGAACTCTCTCACTGTGAGGGAATAGTACTGCACCACCATGCAGCTCTAGATCTGATATGCACAGGTAAATTATTCCAGACCACAGGAGCTTTGAACCTAAAAAGTTTTGGGCTATCAATCTCTCAACATGTGGAACAACAAAATACATCTGACTGTAAAACACAAAAAAAACATGTGTGTGTGTGTGTCTGTTTAATTGATGCTTTTGATATTAATCTCCTTGTGTGCATGTTGTGTGATATGTGCTCAGGCAGCAGTGTTGGGGAAGGAACTACCGGATTACAGAGGGTTGGGTGTCTGAGGGTTCTTAGTTCAGCTGCAGGATGAATGACAGGGGGATGTTGTGTTTGTTTCGCTTTCTGGAGGGAAGGGTTGTTTTGTCATATCAGGGCTATTGTTCAGTGTCTTCGTTTAATGGCCAGATATGGAATGGATGTAGTGGTTATTATAGAAGTATTTGGTCCAATTTAGTGCTTCGTTTTGTGTGAGCTGTATGCGTTGGGGTTGATGTATGATAGTTAGACTTGGATTACTGTGGAGGATGATGCACTATGCTTTCAGCAGAGGGCGTCCACATGATTCAGTCTGTTATTGGCTTTTTCTTCCAGGTTATTGATTGGTCCAGGTCAGGTTATTTTGAAATGTTATGCCGATAAATGTTGCATCCTTGATGATTATGATTATGTCGTTGTGTGTTGTTGATGTTATTTAACTGCATCTGTTTGTTTCTGGTGAGGATGACACATCAGGCCTACCACTAAAGGTTTGCGTGTGTGAAAACGTGTACAATCTTGATATCAACTGCAAAAATGTGAAAACAGATCTACTAGTGGCACGCACTGAGGATTGTCACTTTTAAATGTGCAAGACAACATGCATTGCCAATTTAGTATGTTTGCCTTGAATTGTCAATAAATATGCATTAATGGGTGTTTTTACCCGAGTGTGTAAAATATTGGAGGGGAAAATGCAAATAAGTTAGTAATAGTACACAAATTCTGGTTTATCAAGCTTTAAAAAAAGTGCGGCAATTGTGCCATCATCTGTATTTAATACCTTCGAAAGACGTGCTTACATTGTACTGATAGGATACTTTCGGGACTGCCACAAACAGTCTGGATGAGTACACAGAGGCTACAACGTCATGCATCGGCTTTCTGCCAGGACTTGTGTGTAACATCACGCACTGCGGTGAGTAACAAAAAACGACAAGCCCCATGGTTCACAGAAAAATGTAAGAGTGGGGACAGAGAGAGTTTTAAAGAGGCTAAATACACCTTCAGTAGGGCGGTGAGAGAAGTCAAGCAGCTTTACTCTGAGAAAGACATGGGCCCAGTCTGGAAGGGTCTCAGACCACTCACCAGCTACGAGCCTAAAACCCCCCCACTCTGTGAGTGACCTAGAAAACAAACTGAACGAGTTTTGCTGTCGCTTTGAAAGACATTAGGACAGCCCAGAAAGCATCCCTCATAAGGTCTCCACTCCACAACTCAACACCCTCAATGGAGCAAGGGCTCAGGACTCTCTCCCCCACACCCCAGCAACACCTCTTTATGTAAGTGACAGAGATGTTAATATGAATTTAAGAGACAGAACCCCCACAAAGCAGCTGGACCGGACTCTTGTCTGTCTCCAGTCTTTATAGACATCTTTAAACCCTCATTAGAGACATGCCATGTGCCGGCCCTTCACCATCATCCCTGTCCCCAAAAAACATGAACCACTTAAGGCCCATTTACTCCAAGCAGTTCAGTTCAGTTCGGTGCGGCACACATTTTGTGGCGTTTCCACTATCAAAAGTCGGGAAAGGTCCCCAAATTACCGCCCCGTACCATCCTACTTTTTGCTACCCTTCTGTTGGGGTGCCAAGTCTACCGATCCGACCCTAAAAGGTGGAGCTAAACACTGCAGTCCGTTGATTGGTCAAAAGAATCGTTACTTCCTGTGCGACAGCGGTAATAAAGGAGAGCTGTATTTTTCCTCGCGGCACACAGCCTCATCTGGCTTTAATGACTTCAGAACCCGTCGACTTAACCTCTGTGGTGATGAAGTCTTTTGAGCATCTTGTGCTCTCCCACCTCAAAGACATCACAGACCCTCTCCTGGACCCCCTGCAGTTCGCCTACAGAGCCAATAGGTCTGTCAACGACGCTGTCAACCTGGCCTTCCACCTCATCCTCAAGCATCTGGACTCGGCATGAACCTATACCAGGATCGAGTTTGTGGATTTCAGCTCTGCTGTTAGTACAACATTCCTGGCTCTCAGAGGTGTAAAGTAATGAATTACATTTACTCTTCAGAGTACTTACTACTTTTTAGGTCGTTTTTTAAATCTGTACTTTTACTTTTACTTAAGTAGGTTTTCTGTTTAGTATTGTAATTCTCTACATTTAAAATCACATTCGTTATTGAGTGAAAAAAATAGGGCTGTGTATAGTCACGAGTATTGGGCTGACTGGTTGTCTTAGTTTCAGTCACCAATCTCTTGATATAAGAATTTTGTGAAAAATCAATGAAGAATGAATGGGGAAATTTACTTCTGATTGGCCAATCCCCCTTACACGCAGACGTACAGCGAGGGGAGGAAAGAGGGGGTGGGGGGCATTTCTACAAGTACAAATTTGTTTAGCTACAGACGTCTCGCAAAATGTGTTGCAAAACACAAGCAGTGCAGATTCACGCCAGAAAAGTCAGTTTTTTTGTAAAACGAGCAAAGCGATTATCTGAGGTACAAGCACTTGAGGTGACCAAGGCACTTGTTAAGTTAAAGCACACTTTTTTACTTATTTATTATTTTACTTTTTCTATTTTTACTCTCGACACACACACACAGCAATACTCAGCGAAACACACACACACACACACACACACACACACACACACACACACACACACACACACACACACACACACACACACACTCACAGGCATTACCCAGCACAGCTCCATCTGTATTCAGAACTCGGCAAGTACACCCAATTCACCCCCCTCAACAACACTGTTACACAAATGCAGTCCACCCTCACCACCATGAAACAAATTCTCCTCAACGGAAAAGACCCACAGACCCCCCTCCCGCCACTTTCTGCCACCTTTTCAGACACAGTAAATTCAAACATGCACAAATACTCTGAAATCAACTCCGGTACCAGAAAGAGAGCAAGAAGGGAATCAACAGAAAAACATACCATCACACCTATTGTAATAGAAAACTTCAAAACTCCCAACAGTTCATTTTCCACTAACTTCACAGGTTGGAGAGTGATTGCAACAACACATCATCAGTAGGGTAAAACTAACTGTCTCATCATCAAAAAAACACAAAAACTTAAACCCCAAGCCCAACTCCGAAAGCTGGTTCACATGAGAAATGGCAATATTCTCATTTTACCCATGGACATCCACTCCCTGAACACTCTACTCTCACCCTGGCCAGAAGATGTATTCAATGGAGCAAAATTCACATGTAGACTAGCACGAAAACCCGGATCAACAACCCCATCTGAATCTCCCATCAAACATCTGGTCATTAAAGGCATCCACACTGACATCACAGAAGATCAAATCAAACAGGAAATGGACCAACAAGGCATCAACATCTCCAAAATCCACAGGATAATCAGCAAAACCACCCAACAGCCAACCACCTTTATCAAGATCCTTCTTACCAACCCAAACCAATCTGCTGGCCTTCTCCACGAAGGCTTCTTTATGGACCTGTTTCAGTACAGAGTGGAGAAGGCCCGGCCCCCACCCACCATCCGACAGTGCTTCAAATGCCAACAGTTTAATCACATATCCTCCAACTGCAATAACCCTGTCATATGTCTCAGATGTGGAGAAAATCACCATCACAAAACCTGCACCAGAGACAAAAGAGAAGCCAAATGTGCCAACTGCTCAGGACCACACTCTGCTGCATCCAAGACCTGTCTCATCTACCTTTCACACATGAACCCATCCACCAGAAGGCCCCAACCTGCCAGACTCTCTGTCAGGAAACCATCCACCACCAACTCCCCCAGCACACACCATACTTACAGTCCTGACAGCACTCGCCTCACCCACCTCCGCGATGACCTCAGCAAACTGTCAATGGATGACAATAAAATAGAATCAATACTACAAAGCATCAGAAAACACACCCACTTCATTATGTAGGACCTCTCCACCCCCACCTCATCCCCCATCCAGGAATCATAAATATCTGTCTACCTTTTTTCCTTTTAATAATGACCCACACCACCTTCCTTCACATAAACATCCGAGGAATCAGAGGAAATAAAGAAGAACTCATCAATCTACTCAATAACAAAAACATCTCAGTCGAAACACTTCTGTCCAGTAAATCACGCATCAGCATCCCAGGTTACAACATCATCCGAAAAGAACGCCAAACAGGACATGGAGGAGGAGGAGTTGCCATCTTAATCAAAAATCACATCGAATACAGTCAAACAGATTTTGGACTCTCAGCACAGGAACTCAATGGAAATGAATATGTTGCAATAAAAATAAAAATCCATTCACATCATCCCATCACAGTCACCAGCATCTATTGTCCCCCTGGAATAAAACCCTCAGCTCCTCTGCTCAAAGCCACCTCCAACCCTGGCCACTCTCTGATAATGGGCGACCTCAATGCCAATCACACAGACTTTCACTGCAGGAAAACAAACACAAGCGGAACCACACTCAGACAGATTCTGCAGGACACAAATCTATCAATAATCAACACAAATGAACCACCCTACATATCCCCTCAGACCGGCAAAACAGACATTCTGGACCTCATCATATGCACCCCCAACCTGGCAACAAAACTCCACAGTTTCACCACCACAAACCATCTCTCAAGTGACCACCTACCAGTTCTCACCACCTTCTCCTTCAACCTTCAATCAATAACAAAGACAAAATACAACTACAGAGCAGCAAACTGGGATACCTATAGATCATTCATAGAAGAAAAACTCAAGCTCATCACCCCAATTCCCACTCCCCAGAACCTGGATCAACATGCAACACTCCTCAGCCACCTACTCACCCAAGCCAAAGGAGAAACCATACCCACAAAATCTGCCAAAACCCCAACACAGTCATTACCACCACATCTCCTCCATCTCATCAGACACAGAAGAAGGCTGCGCAGAGAATTCATCCGGTCCAGATCACCCCTCACCAAAACAGAAATAAACAGACTACAAAGCACCATAAAAACACAACTGGCCCTCCACTGAAAACTTGGAACAAATTTTATAGACAACTAGACGGAGACGCAAACCCCCGGACATTTTGGCAAAAAATCAAGAGCATAAACTGAAATACAGAAAACAACCACAACACACCACCTCTCAAATCCACAGGCACTATCATCAACAACAATAAAGAAAAGGCCACACTCTTCCGAAACCACCTGGAAAACGTACACTCATGCCCACATAAGCCAAACTTTGACAGCACCTGGAAAAACCTTGTTGACAGCAAAATATTAAAATATGACACAAAACAAACCAACGCAGACAATCCCACTGTTGAGCACCATCCCCTCACAAACCCAGTCACAACCCAAGAATTACAACAGCACCTGAAGAAAATGAAAAACAAAGCACCCGGAGAAGACAAAATTGACACCATACTAATTAAACAGTTACCTACCTTCAGTACCTTGGACAGCTCTTCACCACCTGCCTCATCACTGGACACTTTCCCTCACCATGGAAAACAGCAATTGTTACAATGATCCATAAACCTGGCAAAGACCCTCACAACCCCACAAGCTACTGCCCCATCAGCCTCCTCAGCCACATCGGAAAACTCTTTGAAAGAATACTCACCTCCTGCCTCACCAACCATATCAAATCACTAGGACTCATTGCAATGTACCAAGCTGGCTTCAGGAAAGGCAGAACCACCACAGACAACATCCTCAGACTCCCAGAAGACATATACAGAAATTTCAATAAAAAACAAATTACCATCGCAATATTCTTTGACATTGAAAAAGCTTTTGACAAACTGTGGCATAATGGACTCATCTACAGATTAATAGACAATAACCTCAGACTACCAAAACCCACCCAATCCATCATCTCAAGCTTCCTCAACAATCAACATATCAAAGTTAAAGTTTCCACCTCCATCTCCACCCCAAGGTTCTGTTCTCAGTCCCCTCCTTTTTCTCTAATACATCTCCGACATCTACTACCCCCCAGTCACCATAGCCAAAGTTTCACAGTTTGCAGATGATCTTTGTTACTGGTCAACATCTAAATCCCCACAGCTTGCCGCTTCAAAACTTCAACAACGCATCACAGAAATAGAAGAATGGTCATCTCAAAGCCCTCTGCGGAAAGCATGGCGCATCACCCTCCACAGTTATCAAAGTCTATCTTTCATACATTTGTCCACTGTTTGAATACTCCGCCCCAGCCTGGATCACCATCTCCAACCATCAACTCCAAGGCCTGCAGATTATACAAAACAAAGCACTGAAACTGGCCCATAGACTTCCATTCTACATCAACAACCACTACATCCATTCCATATCTGGCATACAAACCATTACACAAAGATGCCAAGCAATAGCCCACAAGTATCTATCATCTGCCAGAAACAACCCTGCCCTCCGGAAAACCATCATGGAAGCACAACAAACAGTCAACACCCCCCTGTCATTTATCCTGCAACTGACCAAAGAAACCCCAGCAACTCAACCCTCCATAACCCAGTAGTTTCCTCCCAGCCGATGCTGCCTGAACATATATCACACATCATGCACACACCCAGACAAATTGACAATATACATTTTACATAGACACAAACGCACATTTCCTTTTTGTTTGAATGTTTTCTTTTATTTATTTTTCGTTTAATTTTGGTGCCTTGGTCTGCATGTGCCCTGTAAACCTTAAGTCCTCTGCCTCCTGCCCCCTCAGCTGATATAACTGAACCCCCCCACCCTATGGATAGAAAAGGGCAAGAAGCCCTGAACTATCCCACCAGGATCCTGATGATTTAGCCACGAGGATATTCACAGAAAGATGGGTGGCATGACACGTCTTCTGCTTTTACTCTGTGCTGGTGAGTGGCTAATGTTTTCTTTTCATGTGTACTGGTACTTAACTGTCATAGTCAGCGTGCTTTTAACAGAATTCAACTTCCTCCAGAAAGCTAGCACACTTGATTTCCCCATGTCCAAACTCTGAACAACAGTTATTCTCTGTGACAATCATTGTTCCAACTCACAGTCACCTGGTGGGTACCTCTCTCTTTCAGGTGTGACAGTGAGCACAGCTGTGGATCTACAGAAGAGAATCGTTGGAGGTAGACCATGTCAAACACGTGATTACCATGTTTAAGTGGAAGGATATAATGGGACTGTTTACTTCATGTGTGGTGGCTCTCTGATCAGTGACCGCTGGATTCTGACTGCAGCTCACTGCTTGAAGAGGTGAGAGAGAAAAAAAGACTAAAATGATATTCTCCTGTTAAAAAATGTACTGTGGTATTCCTGATAACATTCCCAACATGAAGATGGCATTGCTTATATTCAGTAATGACAAACCTGATATGAAAATGTGTTCTCAGTCATTCACTGATGTGTTTATTCACCTCTATTTGTAGACATGTAACTGCATATGTAGGTCCAGGTCTTATAGAAATGGATATCACACAAAATAAGACCTTCAAAGAAAACGGAAATGGAAGAGAACATGACCTCATGCTGCTGAAGCTTCGTGACTCCACTCAAATTCAACATGTAAAATTTCCAACCACTACTGAATGTAATCAACGTAACAAACTGTGAGTATTGATGTCACCTCTTTAATTCATCTCAAAACTCAACTTTAAAAAGTATGTGAAAGTTGTTAATTTAATTTTCTTGTTCTATTATATTTCAGACAAACAGTCGAGATTGCAGGTTATGCATCCAAGTTCATGGGTCCAAATAATGAAAGAGGTAAAAAAATATATATATAAAGCAATTACTTATCATTAATACATTTACTCTTTTATTTTCATCACTTTTTCTTGTTTTCTTGGTAGAATTACAGCACTTTTAAAAACACATTATTATTATTTTTTGAACAAACTTAAACATCAATATGTTTAACAGAAAAGTTTCCTCTTCTCAAACTCAATGCAGCAAATTCAAGCTCTGTTTAGTTCAGGAGACTTTTAGTGAAGGGCATACTTTATTTATTAACTCTATAGGATACATGTTTGAATTCATTTAATAAAGTATTTTTAAAAATCCGAGTCCAATGAGGAGTTTTCTTAACAATGTTAACAATGATAAAGTTTTATTTTAATTAAATATGTTCTTTTTCTATTCTCGTAGGAAATGACAGACCAACAACTCTGCAGTGTGCAGACATTCCCGTTGTCAGCTGTGAGACCTCTAGGAACTGTTTGCAGCGCAGCCTTCACCCAGATGACCTGTCCAGACTCTACCAACACTGGTTCTGTGGACAATCTGATACAGTGGATATATCTCCAGTGAGTTGAATGGATTTTAACTTTGTTTGTTTGATACAGTCATTGGGTGTTTGACCATTTTACTGATTCAAAGTTTTTAAACAAATGATACAGTTTAAATCTCTTCCACAGGGAGACTCTGGTGGAGGAGTGGTGCACGGTTCCAAGATTTACGGGGTCATTAGTTTCACGATGAATGGTACTCATGCCTGTGTTAAACCAGCTGCATTCATGGATGTCTGTCAACCGAGATACAAGGACTGGATCAGGCGGATTACGGGTTTGCGAACCATCTAACCCTCCATGTATTCATTTAGAGTGAAATGTCCCCTCATTCAAGAGACATTCACATGAATTGGAGTAGTGAGTTTCTTTACATTTTCAATTGATAAATGTTAATTGAATAACTACTAGGCCTAAAGTTTTTATTATTAAGCCCTTCACTCTGCTAATGTTGCTGAGTGCTGTGCTCTTGATGGATTAATGTCGGGTCTTTGTCGATATAAATAACAAAGAGTAAGGTCTTTTACCTGCTCCTTTTTAAATGTATCTCGAGATAACATTTGTTATGAATTGGTGCTAAACAAATAAAGATTGACTGACTGATCAGATAAATATAATCATACTTTTAAAACATAACTATCAATTTATCAATATATTATCACCTGTTCAGATTCATACTGTTATACTTTGGGGGGGGGGAAAACATGTCTAAAATTGTGTATTTTATATAAACAGAGATTTGGTTTTTCTTGTAACTATTTGGTCTTGTTCTCGATTCTTTAAGAAATAAATCAAACGTGACTCCTTTTCAACAATTGTGAATTGAAAATAAAATGATGACTCACAAATCATTGTGAATGTTTTTATGCTTTTGGACACTTGGTGAAGATGAAACAAGTTGGGGAAAGACATAAAATACATATTTCTGTTAGAAAACTACAATAATATTAAGGAGATGAGCACACACTTGTAATATCAAACGCATGTCCATACTTTTAACTGAGATGATGACACCTTTAGTAAACTTGGACCTATTTTTGTCCGAGCCCCTGTTGAACTGTTGTATCACCTGCACACATTAGACCAACAAGAGTTGGGGTCCAGCGAGGTTTACCTGCTCGGTTTGTTTGAAGACACTAACCTGTGCGCCATCCACGCCAAGAGGGTCACCATCATGCCCAAAGACATCCAGCTGGCCCGCGGCATAAAACTCCATAATACAGAAAACAAAGGTTCTTTTAAGAGCCACTTCACCCCACTCAGAGCTGCAGGTCTCCGCCACAACACTACAACTGTTCATGTCATTACACGAAGTGGAAACAATCATAGAGAAGATTTTGAACATGATATTAGATTCCCAGCAGCCATCCTTTAAACTCATTCATTATCCGTTTTTCAAGTATCTGCAATAAAGGGTAGATTCTTGTCACTATTTTCAAATTGAAAAAATACATTTTGGACATATGATGATTGAACAACATGTTACATGGGGCACTTAAACTCGATTGCTGCCCTTAATGCGTAGAAGACGAGATTTCTGCGGCCGTCAGACTTCTCTAGTACCGGAGTTAAGAGGAGCAATTAGGTTAATAAAAACTTCCATCCGTGACTCTACGAAAAGGACCAACATGACATAACTTGTAGGTTAAACAGTTGGGTTATAATGTAATGATCTATTGTAAAGTGTTAGTTAAATGAGTGTGAATAAAGCTCTCTAGGTGATGTGTGTGGCTCTTAAAAGAGCCTTTTGTTTAGTATCCAGGTGGAGTAACAGGTTTAACCTCCGAAGCCGTACAGGGTGCGGCCCTGTCTCTTCAGAGCGTAAACCACATCCATGGCGGTGACGGTCTTCCTCTTGGCGTGCTCGGTGTAGGTGACGGCGTCACGGATCACGTTCTCCAGGAACACCTTCAACACACCGCGGGTCTCCTCATAGATCAGACCGGAGATCCGCTTCACACCGCCACGGCGAGCCAGACGGCGGATGGCGGGCTTGGTGATTCCCTGGATGTTATCACGAGGACTTTACGGTGACGCTTGGCGCCTCCTTTGCCGAGTCCTTTCCCTCCCTTTCCGCGACCACTCATTCTGATAAGATGATAATTCTTCTGAAGACGAACTGACTCTGAACCGGAGAGAGTCCGGATTTAAATCCTCCGAGCGGACGTTGAGGAAGAAAACCAGCTCGAGCTCAGCCCGCCACTTTTCTCTTCCGATATGAAACTAGACAATGTTAGCCACTGCATATCCGGTTACAAACTGAAGCCTTCAAAATAAAAGCTCCATAATTGGCGGTTATAGTTGAACGGGCCTCTTAAATTCACAACTGTTTGATTCTTTGGTATTATACATCCTACTTGGTACTAACTTCCTGTAGTCCATCCATGAACTCTTATCTTCATTTATATATTTATGTAGTGCCATACTGTTTGGTCCTGTGCCTTTGGGTAGTCAGATTCTGTCCTTGTTGTCAAACATTTAAAAATGGAGTTTAAGTTAAGTCTTTGTGACTGATTGATGAATGAGGAAGAGCCTAATTTAATACAAATCAAATATAAGATGGCAGTGTTTAATCTGTATGTGGAAATTATATTTCAGTGAGAGTCAGTTAAACAACATAATTATTGTATTGAAGATAAAAAAAAAAATAATAGTAAATAAAATTGATTTTGGCACAAAGACGTGATATGGATGATCGGTGATTCTGGCATGAAACTCAAATACATTTAGCCTTACATTAAAATAATCGTATTACTCTGCAGCCTTTCATTTGTACATTGTTTTTAAAATGACTTGATCAGTGTTATTATTACATCTATTTACAGTATCTGCTGACAGTAACCTACAGGGTTATTTGTTATAATCTCAGCACACTGTAACTGTGAATCAGGGTTTTTCTCCTCCCCGGGAATTATGTCTTCTCTTGTTCGGTTAGGAAAACTTGATGAACTAGTTTAAGCCTTGTACTGTAGATTGTATGATTAATAAAAACTCTACATAGCCTTTAAGTAATATACTAATCTATTAATGTGTGTATTTATTGATTTATATTAAGCGCTTTCAGTCTGGTGTCCGTAAAGCGCATCTACCTAAACAAGCAGTCTACACAAGAAGAATAACATGTGAAAATGTAAAGTCTTTGAAAGCCTCCATTTACTTTTCTTTTCCTGTCAGCGCCTAAAGTATTTTAAGACCTGACTTGAAGGCACTTGGTTTTTAGTGACTACGTAATTTTCACTGTAACAGGAAGAGACTCGATAGGATGTGTGTGTGGCTCTTAAAAGAGCCTTTGTGGTGTTGCGTTCAAGGACGACTTATTTGGCCTTGCCAGCTTTCTCGGCCTTCTTGGGCAGCAGGACAGCCTGGATGTTGGGCAGCACACCGCCCTGAGCGATGGTGACGTTAGTCATGAGCTTGTTGAGCTCCTCGTCGTTGCGGACAGCCAGCTGCAGGTGACGGGGGATGATCCTGGTCTTCTTGTTATCACGGGCTGCATTTCCAGCCAGCTCCAGGATCTCAGCCGTCAGGTACTCAAGCACCGCCGCCAGGTAGACGGGAGCTCCGGCGCCGACACGCTGAGCGTAGTTCCCCTTCCTCAGCAGTCTGTGGACCCGGCCGACAGGGAACTGAAGCCCGGCCCGAGATGACCGGCTCTTCGCCTTTGCCCTGGCCTTCCCGGTGGTCTTTCCTCTTCCTGACATGTTCGATATTAATTTCTTTTCTGTAAAGAAATGTGAATTATTTTATCACCGTCGACTCTCTGTTTATATATTCTTATTGCTCCGCCTAGCTGACACGTTATTGGACAAAGCTAGCGTATGTTGTATCGTCCAATCAGGAGCGGAACTTTATTATGCAACTTCCGTATATGCTTCTGGGGGATTTTCAAAATACAGGAGGCTACTAACTTCTAAATGTAAAAGTTCACTTTCTAACATATTTGCTTTTTTGATTATAGTCAGACTTGTTTGAATAAACAAGGCATTCAAATATAAAAAATAAAACATAATAATGTACATTTAGAAGAGAGGCCGTGTAGAAATGAGACAAATTCAGATAGGATACAGATACAAGATAAGGTATTGCCTAGGCTACTCCCTTCATCCCCCATTAGGAAACCTGATGACGTGGGATTGCAAGCGGAGGAGGTCCAGTTGTACAGTTGGACTCTTGAACTGATGATTGTATGTTTATTTCGAAGCACAAAAGACCACATAAACCACTCAAACCCCCGTAAGAGCTTAATGCCTCTTAGGGGATTGCTGAACAATAAACATTTGACTTGTTACCGTTCATTTGCTGTTTACATTTAGCCTATTCCTTTACTTTTCTGTCCCTAACAAGTTCATCTTTTCCTATTCAAGCGGCTTGACAACGTTTCTTAAACCGGAAGTTTATTAATTCCCTTCAAAATAAAAGCTATTCTTTGTCCAAACAGTAAAGTAGCCTTAGCTTGATGGCATGCACAATTCAAAATAAAAGACAAAGTATACTGACAACAAACAACATTTTCTTGAGAAAATCTCTTGGTTTCTTGGCTAACTTTAAGTGAGTTACACAAGTAGCCTAATTCCCCTGTAGGTAACACTGGAGGCAAAAGTCAGGGGAGAAGAAGAGTCCATCGGGGGTGACCATCTTCTGTGAATCTTGTATCTAACAAATGGGCATGGATATTTAATATTTCTATTTATCAGATGGGCATGGAGAAAACCGTAGCGTACCTTCACTTTGCATACCTTGATATACCAAGTACACCAGTAGCCTATACAGCGTGTTACAGATTCCATCTGGACCTCAGGGAACATTCATAAAACCCTGTCGTATGATCAATGATACATTTAAGACAATAACCTAATATAAGAATTCCAGTATGTCATTAATTTCCATGGAGAGTTCAATCAGTACTTGATATCATGAGCTGTGCTCCCGAAGCCAGAAAGCAAAGATGTCATCAATTTTGGAAGTGCTCCAAAGAATAGGAGATAACAGATTTTGTGGACCCGCAAAATATTTGTTTTGTTTTTACCCAAAGAAGCTTTATTCTGTTAAAGTTTAGTCAGTTCTGAAATAAAAAGGTTTTAAACTTGATGCTCTTATGTAAGATCTTTCCAAAATCACACCATTGTTGTTAGATGTAAGCGAGAGTTGTTCATTTTGTCTAAATGAAAGTGGTTCCCCTCTAATATCATTGCTGCATTTATCTGCATATTTTCAGATGGACGAATGTTGGAAAAACATTTTCCAGGGACTTCCTTTGGAAAGAAGGGCATATTTTGCTGAAACTAGTAAAAGTGGCTGTACTTAAATGACTCCAGTGTCCTGCCAGCTGGTGAGGAACGTGATGGTACCCTTTAGATACAATGATGTCTTAAACTGTTGTGGTAATTATGTCAGAAACCTGATGGCACGATAACAACACTTGTGGTGGCACAAGGCACGAGTCACTTTGCTTCAGAGCCCTTCAGATGCTTACACACCTCGTACTGTCAGGGCGGACTAAAGGAAGGACCAAATGCAGTGTGAAAGCATCCCTATCTTACATCTTGGACATGAAACTGGTGGGAAAGCTGATCTTCTCTGTCCCACATTTTTTACTTCTTTAAATCTAATCTCATTTACCAAGCTGTAATGTTGGAAAGAGAAATGGGAATAGTCAAGAGAAGCAATGCCCCTTTCATCCGGTTACATCTCAGTCCCTGATATGAAATAACAATACAGGACAGTCAGTTGGAAAAGGGCATGCACAGAGAAACAAGTAATGCATTTATGTTTCTACATGTTTCTATTTGTTATACACTTCTGGGGATCACATGATTAAATGTTTCATTGAAAGTGTAACTTTAAGTTTCAGTATCAGTTTGACCTTGAGGATGGAGTTACTCCTCAACCCAGCACTTTACTGAGATTCATTTCTGTAAAAATAAAACCAATACACTTTCTTTTTGTGCTACAAATACAGCACAACAAAATGATCCTGACACATTTATCTGAAATAAAATCATTTCTTAATGGTGCCGTATTAGCTCTATATTGTTGAGGTAATTTCAAATTGAAATTTGTACATCACTATTATAAGAATATAACAACTGTCAGAAAACCAGAGTATCCAGTCCATGAAAAAAGTCTATATAAATGTATGCCTCTTTTCAAACATGAAGCTTATGACGTGATCTTTTCTTTTTACAGGGGAAGCGCACAATTCAATTCAACTTGCACCAGAGTTAGCCAATAATCTTCATCTAATTACATTTTCTAATACTACAGAATATGTAAAAAATAAATCCATGTGGACATTAACCTTCACAAGACATCACACGGCCTATTTAAAAAATCATGAATATGAACACACACCACTCAAAGGCTTTATATGTGCTTTTTCACACTTAAATATAATATAAATCAAGTATATCCTCTGAAAATAACTCTGTGAGTCAAGACTGTCTACAATGGGTGTAACACCCGAGTCCCACTGTCTGTGATGTTTTCAGAGTCCTATCTTCAGTTTGTTTACATCGCCGGGACGGCCGGCTGACTCCTCCCCTCGTGTATAAAAGTTGTTTAATTGAGGGACTAGAGAAAAGAAGAATAACATACTGTACTCACTGCTTAACTGTGTTTCTAGATCACGCTCATTTCAGGTAAATTTACATGCAGTGTGAAGATACGAGCATCATAAAGATCGCTAGCATTAGCATGCTAACACAACAATGCAGCGTGAGTTGTTTTGGTTTCATGCTGGTGCCCAAGGGCGACATCTGCTGGATCAAAAAATTGCATATAAAGCCTTTAAAACAGCACCATAAAAGTAGATCAGCATGATAAACAGTATCTATGAGGCAATCATTGGTGATTACAATTTTGTTTTTAATGGTTAAACCTGAATAAAAAATCATAATGAGCACCAGGTCCATTACAAAGCTGAAAATGTAACTTTGAAAGTTAAACCTCTCGTCTCTTTACTAATCTCTGGTGCCCTCTAGCTGACTCCTGTTTCATGAAAGCTTGTTGATTTGTTTTCACATCACTTTCATTTCAGCATAAATCTTACTTAACAAGTACAGTTGTATTTTTAATTGTATTTCCACAATAATGGGTAAGATATGCATATTTTAAATCAAACTTTTTTTATTTATTTATGGAAGGCACCTCGCAACCTGTCTAAGTGCCCCCCAGGGGGTCCCGACCCCTACTTTGGGAACCACTACAGCCTATAGCTATAGTCTTGAAATGCTTGGGAATGTATTGCTCTTTGGGAACAAGTATGTTTTATTTATTTAACAAGTGTGGTCGTGTAAAACCATTTTAACTATCACCACAGATCCAAACAATATCCTAAACTCGCACAATAAGAGTTGAAAGACTTGACGCGATAGTGATATTTCCCGGCAGCACTTGAATGCAACATTAAAAGGGAGTTCCAGAACAGATGCCATCAACACATCAGGTGTGATCGTCATTATTTACAGTCCATGGTGTTATCATGGTGCAGCTGATCTGGTGGGGAGACGGCTCCAGTGGACAGTTCGGTGCTCAGACTGCCCTCAGCCCGGTTTCCTGGTCTGTCCCCAGGGGCATCACCGACATCTGCTGCGGAGAAAAGCAAACTTTATTCCTCACCAAGGATGGATGGGTTTTATCATGTGGTCTCAAACCCCAGGGACGAGTTGGACGAAAGAAACGTAAACATGCCATACTCCAGGTAAAGTTTAAAATACTTCTTAGTAGACAGAACACCGCTATGCAGCAGGAAAAGTAATTCAAAACTATTTTTTTTTTTTTTGGAGTAGGGTATAGTAGGCTATTCGGCTACAAGTTTAGTATTAGACACATAATGACGGAGACGTAGTCTACTTTATTTATTTACAAAAGTTTTTTTTTATTTTAGAGTATTTTGAATGAATTGTTGTTGGTCTAACTTCTAAGTGTTGTGCTTTTTTAATAATTAGTGAGAATAAATTCGACTGAGAAATAAGTTGCTTTAAATTAGTTGTATGGATGAACAGTCATACATCATCACTGCAAACCTTTTACCTATAGGTTTATTAACTGAGTCAAGTTTCATTTTCGTTTCCCCTTCGTCATCTGAGGTATCGAAAGTTACTGCACTTCAGCATGTGCTGAGTTCAAGTGCAAGTGGGAAAGTCGGAAAATTTAATTGAGGCACTCTATACATGTTTTGCTTTGATTTGTAACCGGGTTTTTTTATTTTACATTTCAGCAGCGAGTAGGTGAATCCAATAAAGCGATTCTCTAAGTTAAGGTTGATACATGAAAATGTTTTATATGAGTGGATAAAATCCTAAATTTGTCTTTACAGTGCTATAGCCTACATTGTTTTTTTTTTACATTGGATAATTGGACTTTTTAAATGTAACCCCCAAAGCCAAATCTTTATACAGCAGGTCAAGGTGAAACTCTATTTCCCACTGTTATTTAAATTATTTAAGTTAAATGGATAAAAATGTATCATAATGACTGATTTTGGGAAAGTTGAGGAGTACTGAAAGTCAATTTTGTTCAGAAAGTGAGGAAAATGAACTAGTTATTTGACACAACTATCATTAAGCACACGACAGGTAAAACCATAAACTGTAGCCTAAATCTAAATATTAATGGACGAGGTCTGAGTGACGTCAGCCATCTGTTACTGCAGGGCGCTCTGGAGGCTCATCTGCAGCAGCTGCATGATGGAAATCCTGTCTCACCCTAACTTTCAGTCACCCTAACAACAGACTGACGAACCCCTGTACAGTATGTGCCCATGATGACAATAACTAATCAGATCTAATTTTTTTTGTACCAGGCTGTAAACATGTTAATGTATCATTTCTGCTGTTAAAAAGTATTTTTTGCCGGTTGTGTGTATGTGT